TGAGGATTTTCATCTGATTGAGAAATCCTTACTTGTCTCTGACATTTCCGATCAAGATATCCAATTTTCATATCACTGAATTTGATTAAGTCTTCAGGCATCAAAACGCTTAAAGAAATATCACAGTTTTATTGGAAATCTCAAGAGCTCGGTTTTGACAATATTTCTAAAAAGAAAAATTACATTGAATATTGGGGGAGGCTTAAAGTCCCTAATACATTCTAAATACATCATCATCAAAATCTATAATATTTTTCCCAACAAAGTAATTAGTCGAACTGGGCCCGAAACCCGTATGGTTAATAATGCCCAGAGCAAATGATGGAGGTTACCTTGGAGGACCACAAGTAAGTGACTTTTTAATAACCGAATTCATTTTAATTAAAAAAAATATTATAGTTTGAAAAAATTACTAAACAATTCAATTGCATGATACGTTATTTTATTACGTCAATGTTTTTGCATTGATGGATTGAGTGCATCGGAATCGACCCTTCCAATATTGGTGTTGCAGATGGTGAAACCTAAGTTCTACAATGGTATATTCATAAATTAATTCAAATTAATTTTGAAAGACATGTACCCAATGATTTAATTCTAATTGTATATTTTTCAAAACATTTAGAGCAAGTGTCTGTTACAACATTTTACTCTGTGAGCAAGGTTTTACTCAACGATGAGTGTGATGAAGTTAAAACTTGGAGAGAAAAGTAAGTCCAAGTGTATTCTTGCAGATTTTTCGTTTCTAAAATATAATCAACGTGTTGTTTAAATTTTTAAAAATTGTAATCATGCAGGTTAATATCAAGTGGTTATCATTTAACCCAGAGTTGTAGTATCGTCTCAACACAATCAAGATCAAGAGATGATAAAAGAACTAGCAACTTGAAAGTAGTCTCCATTCATGAACTAAAAAGCATGAGCAATGTAAGACATTTTTTTACATGTTAGAAAAAAATTAAGTTACTTTTCACCTTAAATATATTGCATATTCATCTATGCTAATACACTTATTTTATGTATTCCACAAAGAGTAATTTTTAAATTATTGAATGAGATATAATTTAAAGGGTATACACGGGATTTACTAATTAAATTAGTAAATAGTTAATAATTTAGGAAATAATATAAATATTTATTGAAATACGTGTTCATTTGAATAAGTTTAATTTAGTTTTAATACCAGAGTAATAAAAAGTAAATTTATTAATTATAAGAGTTTAAGTGAGAAAAGTAGGCTTTAATTTTATTTTCTTTCCTAAATTATTCACTATTTGCAAATTTTTTTAGTTTATAAATTGCGAATAAGATTAATTTTTATGAAAACTCTACTTGCAACATAAGCAAAATTAATCATTTGGGTCTCCGCTAGCACAACTCTTGGTGAAAGCGAGATTTTTGTCAAATTTTACCAGTTATTCCAAAAGGAACAAGACAGGACATCGTTAACTCAACGATTAATTCTTCATACATTTGGGAAGACTGCACTGTGTTGCGTTTGACGAAAAACATGCGGCTGCAATCAATGATTCATGATAGTGGTTACGATCAATCATTTGAATTCGACAAATGGATTCAGAGTATTGGTGACGGGAACGCACGTGATGAACATGACGGCTATGATGAGGTGATAATTCCTGATGACATATTACTTCCGTCTTCTGAAGATCTAATAGCCACTATAGTGAATTCAACTTATCCAGACTTTCAAAAAATAGCCAGTGAACTGAGCTACTTGCAGGAGCGCGCAATTTTGGCTCCTACATTGGATGTCGTCGATTCCATAAACGAATATATGACAGCGATGAATCCAAGCAGCAAGACTCGAACATACCTTAGTTCTGATAAAGTTGAGAACTCAGATTGCAGTTCAAGTTTTTTTGGTGACCTACACTCTCCCGAATTCTTAAATAAGATTCGTGCTTCAGGTGTACCGAATCATGAATTAACTCTGAAGGTAGGCACGCCTATTATGTTGTTGAGAAATATTGACCATTCAATGGGTTTATGTAATGGTACACTGTTGATAGTAACCCGGTTGGCTAATCACTCAATACAAGAAAAAATATTATCAGAAAGCCACATGGGTGAAGAAGTTGTTATTCCAAGACTATCATTAACACCTTCCGATACAAGCATTCCCTTCAAGTTTCAAAGAAGACAATTCCCTGTGGTTACTTCGTACGCAATGACGATTAACAAGAGTGAGGGACAATCTCTGAAACATGTTGGACTACTGTTATGGAAACCTGTGTTTAGTCATGGACAGCTCTATGTTGCAGTTTCAAGAGTAACTAATCGTAGTGGATTGAATATTCTAATATGCAATGAAGACAATACTTCCACAAACACTACAAATAATGTAATCTATAAAGAAGTCTTTCGAAGTTTGTAAAACATTGTATTTCTGTACCTTAAAATAATATAATCTCTATATTTTATTGCATCTTATTTTTTATCATTAAAAAATAATCTGAATTTAATAACATAAAAATGACCCGTGCAACGCACGAGTGTGATACTCATACTCATATATATATATATATATATATATATATATATATATATATATATACACACTCAATTTATATGAAATTAAATGTTTTCATTTTTTTGTTGTCTAGGATAAAAAAATTGGGAAGTAATAAAAAATAAAAATATGGAAAAACAAAATGAAAAAAAACAAAACATAATAAAAATGGTCTTATACAAAAATAATGTAATTTTTGGAACAGTTGATGTTCCCAAAGAAAAATGAGCAACAAGCAATTTTATTTTCTATTTATTCCTCATTTTTTATGTTCCAAAAAAAGGTTTTAGTCCATACTTTTTTATTTCAGAAAAAACCAAAAAAAGTTTTTAATTTGAGATGTACAAATGAAGTATAAGTTAATTACTTTTTATTTCAAACAAAAATGTTAAAATATAAGAAAATTATTTAAAAAAATTAAAAATAAATTTAAAAAACCTTCATAGATAAAAAAAATAGAGGAAACGTGGAAAATAATAAAAGGTAAATGAAAAGTTAGAAATGAGCATCAGTGCCCCCATATTTTTTTTGAAAGAAAAAAAGGCATACATTAGTGCAATAAAAATAGAACGATACAATCAGGTGAAGCAGAAACCTATATAATGGTATGAATATCTACTCTGCGGGCTAATGTATGAGCAACCATATTATTCTCACGACAAACAAATTGCACCAAATAAGAATGAAAAAAAGATAGTAGACGTTTACACTCCATAATAACACAACCAAAATAAGAAGAGAGAGACGAAGTATTCTCCTGAAGTGCCTTCACAACTCGTTCATAATCCAAATAAAGCACCAAATCTCGAATGCCTTGCATTTGTTGATTAATACAGCGGGAATAAAATAATAATAATAATCCGAACTTATAAACCGTTCGGATTTTACAACAAGAAATAAAGAAAATAAAACTGGAGTCTTCGGAAGCTCGAACGGACTGGGGGAACACGAACAGACAGCAAGGCCGTGACTTTGGAGAAGATGATCGGAAATCGGGGATTCGCCGGAGCAGTTTCTCAAAGTGAAGGTTAGGAAAGAGGAGTCGCCGAAGCTTTCCTTAAGGTAGTATTGCCCGCCTCTCGCACTGGCAAACGTGGGCAATCTCCTCCCAGGATAAAACCGCAACGTGCTAAGTCTAGAGCGGTAGAAAAGAGCACCGGCGAACGAGAACGACGGAAAGTTTTCGACGGAAAAGATGATCGAAGATCGGGGATTCACCGGAAGAGTTTTACTGCAGAGAGAGAGAGTTTTCGAGTATGTTTTCATCTCTCGACCAACCTCTCCTTAAATAGGAGGAGGCTTGGCTGACTGGACAGCCCGGACAGAGATGCCGAGGAGTCTCAGGCGGCTCTTCGGTCGGCCATGCATGCATTTCTCTTGGACGGTACTTCGTTAATCACGAAGTGTCCACGCGTGTTGAAATCCGTCTCGTAAAAATTTAGCCATGCCTCGCCGCAGACACGACGCGACACGCGCGTGCCGAGCCGGACGGACGGCGCCGGCAGCGGCGCGCGAGATGTCCTCTTCTTGTTCCTTTCATAAGCTCAATTCAATGCCTAAGCTTAAATATGAGAATACAAAAGGTTTAGAAACCGGTGTGGGACAAAGGCATTTACTCTACCTTAGTATTCAACTTTGAGAATTAATTTCTCATTCACCCGAGCACCGTTTATGACGTGTCATATGTCAAGACGTTCGTCTTACTTACGAGATTAATCGTCCATAATTATTTTGGAAAATAATTTTGTGGACCCTACCGAATTTATGTCCGAAAATGTCCAATTTACTTTAAAATTTCCAACAACATTTTCACCCAAGAAAGTACCTTCTTGAAAGCCTTAGCTTCCGCCATCAAAGGATCAAGAGGGCATACCATTCTTCCAATGTAACAGATCAAAAAATTGAAAACCTAAAGACGACAAAGCAGACTTTGCAATAGCAAGCACTGGATGACCAAGTCTGCGATGCCAAGTAGACTCTTTGACGGCTTGACACATGACGGATGGGCTTGGATGGGAGGGTGTACTTTCCGTGCTCACACTAGTCCTTGTACTGCATCTGGTTCGTGGTCGTGTCCACTATTTGGAAGTTATTGAGCTCATATTTTTCTTTAATTAAAAGTAGATCTCAAGAATGAAGAAAGGAATCTTCTTTCTCTTCGAATTCTACATAGCAACACAGGGAGAGTTTGATTGAGATTGGTGATGCTAGGAGATGCCACCAGTGATTGGAACGGCGATGGCGGCGGAAATCTCTTCCTCCAGGCTACAGTTACGATTGGAGATGGATGTGGGTTACTACTCCGGTGCACCCTCGCAACTTAATCGACGATGGACTAGGGTAGCGACCATCAAAAAATAGATCTAGGCTATGGCATCGACGATCGGAAAACAAATCTGACCATATTAGATCTATGATCGGATTGGGGAGAAGTTGGGCGGCGAAGATTAGATCTGACCGGATTGAAGTTAGGCACAATCATTCCGGCGAAGAAACAAATCTGACCGGATTGAAATTGGGATCTGCGATCGGATCGAAGAGGGAAGAGAGAAAGAGAGGAAGACATTATTGAAAGATTGAGATTGGCGTAGATGTGGGAAGGTTGGGGTGAATGGTGAGGGGGTATATTAGTCATTGAATAATCTAATTTTGGAACTGGGAAGATAGTTTTTTTAGGACGGGGAAAAAAGGAAAGTGGGAAGAACGTTTTAGGACGGAAGGAGTATTATTTTTGACAAAATATGAAAATGTAAAATTATTTGAGATAGTGTTTTTGCCTTTTATTTTTAATCGTTCCAAAAAATTTAGGGTCATGCTAGGATGCCACTACATGGATGCTATCATGGGTGCATCCATGCTTTGTTAACAAAAATGTTAATCATCATTGCGACACAAATGGTAATCATATGTGCGAAGCATGAGTGCACCACATCCCATAATTTTTCAAAAATTTGAATTTACTACTCGACACTAGGTGTGAGCAATTAAACCGAATCGATAGTCCCTCCGTCTCAAAAAGTCTTTCCTGTTTACTATTACGGCCTCTCGATAACTCAAATTTGTTTGCGTGTTTTCATTGATAATTTGATAAAATAAAATATTCTTGTCGCCTCTTATTTTGTAGAGTTTTTGATGTAGTTTTTAAATATAATTTTTTTATGTGTTATTTCCATACCAAATTTCAAATAAAATCATTTTAAAATCTACAGGGTTTTGCACGTTAATCAAAACAAGAAATCCTTTCTGGGACGGAGGGAGTACAATTTAACCGAATCGACCTCAATTTTAAATTCGGTTTCGGTTTTTGGTTTAATGTCTAAAATATTTGGTTAATTCGGTTATCGGTTTCGGTTCTGGGCAATGTTAACCGAAACCGACCGAATAACCGAGCCCATAATATGTATATTAAATAGGACCGTGCTACACACCCCCACCCTTGCTACCAACCTTGCCTCCACCCACTTCTCCACCACATATTTATCTCTACCCATTCTCCACCCACCCTCTAATTTTTATTTTCTTGCCTCCCTACCACATGTTTATATAAGGGGCATAGTTGGTAGCAAGGGTGAATGTTTTTAGCATTTTCCTATTAAATATATGTAAGCCGAGACCAAATCTTTTAAATTATAGCCAACTTAAACAATCCAATTCCCAAATTTGTTGTCTGACCCAATCTCCAAGTCCCAACCTCGTCTCCCAAGTCGGCAGCAAGTCCCAAATCGGCAAATCCTAGTGCCCAAATCGGCAATCACCATCTCTCGGTCCTCACCAATCGACAATCACCATCTCCCCGGTTCCGGCGTTCCTAAACCGACGCCTATCTCCCGGCAATCACCATCTCTCGGTCCTCACCAATCGGCAATCACCATCTCCCGGTTCCGGTGTTCCCAAACCAACGCCAAGATCTAATCGGCAATCACCATCTCCGTTCCTGCGTCACCAATCAGCAATCACCAGGTTTATTCATTCTTTTTTTGTTGCTAATTATTATTCTTTTAGATGCATTACTCCCATGTTTTATGTTTAATCCTTTTATGTTTGTGGACAGATTTTCTTGCTATTACTTTGCTTTAAAAATTTGAGAAATGTTTCAATATTGGCAGTAGGCAGTAGGTTTTTAGAATGAAAAGTTCGGTTTTTTCAAACCGACCGGACCTGATCGGTTTGTCTGGGTTCTGTTTGTTCGGTTCTCGGTTTAATTCGGTTCGGTTTGGTTCGGTCGGTTATTATGGTTTTGGGCCAAAAGCGGCCAAACCCGGCTCTCCCTTACTCGACATTTAACACCCCAACCCGCATAACCCAAACCCGTGAGACAGCGGACCGGTGTGCCACTGGATTGGTATCCGAATATACAACATTTTCAAAACAATTTAAAACAAACATTCTATCAATACATATAAAAATCCATCGGAGTAATTTAAAATAATGCAGAAGCCTTTTTAAAGTCAAACAACTTGGGATCTTGCCCGGAAACGTAATAAGCATTAAAGTTAATTAAATAAAGCATAACTACAGATTAAAGAGACAGCCACACCATCGTACATTTCCTCCTCAATGCCCTCCGGGATCGGCTATAGGTTCATCTGTCTGATCACCTACGGACAGCAAAAAGGAAAACAACGCTATCCGCTCAACATTAACATAATAATCCAATGATTAAGATCGCGCATATGTTTATCCTTTTAATAAAAATCAATTCAACTTTACATTCGGTTCTTTAGACGGTTGACCAACAGTCAACTTATTTTCTTTCTTTTCAAAACGATTTAGGTGTTAAGGATTCCTCATTAACTCTTTGACCACCGGTCAACTTTCACGAAAGTCAAACCACTTAACTTTTATTGCCTGTGACAGAGATAGCCTCAATCCGTAATACCGAAGATAGCCTCAATTCGGTGGAGGTAGGATCCCTCGGGCGATTACCTCAAACCCAAGATCACAGACCCTCGTGCGCACGTCTTAACCTCACTGACCAGGCCCTGCAGCCGCCCGAGCAATGGCCAGTTTCTATGTTCGACATAATAAACCAATTGATCCTAATTACTGATTAGAATTAATTAATTAACTTAACTAATTCAGTAAAGTCTTGGATTTAACCATTCGGTCAAACCTACGTCAACAGAATATCCAGTCAACGCCTAAGTCAAACGTGACCTAACCCAAGTCAAACTCAAACCTGTTCAGTCAATTCACAATCCTCAACAATTCAATTCAAATAATCAATTTAATTCAATTAACCAAATCTAGCCAAGTTATAGCATAAACATATATAACGATCCGAACCATTAAATATATTCTAAACGCTATTAACTTCATAGTACGGACCTGGATTACGCCGAAATCGAATCGATAGCTCGAACGGAAGACAAATCAACAAAATCAAACGAACGGGTCAAATTGAGCCAAAACACGAAATCGACCAATCGATCTAGCGTGGAGATAAATCTGTCGGCGGTATCAACCCAGGGCAGCGGCTGGGTGCGGCGATGGTGGCGGACGCCGGCGTACAGTGGCGAGGCGGCAGCAGCTCCCAGAAATCACGAACAGAGGAGCAGCTCCGGTGATAGCCTCTGTCCGGCGAAATCCCTAGCTGCAACAACGGTGAACCGGCGATTATAAGTCCGGTGAGTCGCAGCGACCGCCGGCGAAGGTGGCGACCCGGCGTGGCGCTGCTCCAGAGGTCCAATTGCAGAGGAAATTGCGAGGAAGATGAAAAAGAGACTGACCTGAGCTAAGGGCGACGGCGGCTGGAGGCTTGGCGGCGGTGCAACTCGACGGCGATGGGCAGCGATTGGCGGCGCTGCAACCCGACGGCGGTGGACGACCGACGCTGGCAGTGCAGGCGACGACCGCGGCTCGAAGATTGGGAACCGTGGTCGGCGGCGCTGGACCTGGCGGTGAGCGGCGGACCTCTGGCGAGGGAGAAGCGGCGGCGATTGGCTGGGGAAGGGCGACCGGCGATGAGCGGCGACTGGCTCAGGCGACGCCGGCGTGGTCGAACGGCAGGGGAGGATGACCGGCGAAGAACGGCGACTGGCTCAGGCGGCGATCGGAAATGAAGAAGAAGAAGGTGACGATGTGCGGTTCTCACAGATCCGAACGAAAGAAGATAGGTTTAGGTTTTATTTAATGATCTCATTTCTAAAAGGATTGAGCTTCGGACCCAAAATACCTGATTAAATGGTCATAACATGAGCTCCAAAACTCCGATTCGCGAGTCGTCTGAACCGACGCGATCACAAAAATATTTCCTACGAGATGACATAAAAGTTGGGTTTAGAATCCAAATTATAATTTTAACCCCTTTTTGGGCCCAATTCATAATCAATTGCTCTAACAATTTAATTAATTCTTTTGGGCCAGATTTCGGGGCGTTACACGACACAATCCACCAAAAAATCTTAGCTCCACTCCTCCCTCAGTAATCTTCAACGGATTGATTGTTTCTATAAGATGGGAAAAAATCAAATCAATGCCTTTACAATCCAAATTGCAAATCAAAATAAGATTATTATTATTATTATTATTGCGTGTAAAATAAAATAAGATTACGTGTAATATTTGTTTGAAAATAGTTCGTTGAAATGGTGAAATAACAGAATCTTTTCTCTCATGTATGAACAATAGGGGTGCATACAAATCAAATAAAATGTGTTCGATTTGTGATTCGTATTCCAAAATGATGATTCGTATTCACTATATTCGAATTCGAATCCGAATACGAATTGTATTTTAGATTCGAATTATATTCGAATCCGAATACAAATATTAATAGATTCGATTCGTTTATTATTCAAATTATTCGAATATTATAATTTATAAATAAATTTATATATATTCTAATATATTATGGAGTAAATATTTGTGTACATATGTTAACATATTTTAATATATTAAATTTTTGTGTACATATAAATTTATATAGCATATTTTTACTACATTTTACATTATTATAAAATAATAATTTAATGTCTTTAAGAAATCTATTTTAAGAAAAAATTTCTAATATTTTCGAATTCGAATATTCGAATACGAATTCAAATACGTCAAACATCTATCGAATCGAATACGAATTTTTTTTAAAATTCGAATTATATACGAATCTGAATTTGAATACATATCACTTTAATAGAATACGAATCGAATATTGATATATTTGCTTAGATTCGATTCGTATACACCCCTAATGAATAATAAAGAGTATGTTTGACTGAAGGTCCAGATCTTGTCTTTCTTTCTCTCTCCCCTTTCCTTTGCTCTAATTTGATTTGATTATATAATAATAATAATAATAATAATAATAATAATAATAATAATAATAATAATAAATCAAAATGTGTTTTGATTCATAGCTGGGGTTGACTGAGAATCAATAAAGATTGAGAGAGAGGATTTGGGTTGAAATGGATTGGGACAAGCATCAAGCGGCGCAGCTGCCGGCTCATCCGCAGGCGGCGGAGGAATTGGGCGGAGGAATGTTTGTGAAAGTGATGACGGACGAGCAAATGGAAGTCCTCCGCAAGCAAATCGCCGTCTACGCCACCATTTGCGAGCAGCTCGTTGATTTGCACAAATCAATCACTTCCCAACACGATCTTTCTGGTCTCTTCTTTCTTCTCTCTTTGCTCCCAATTTCGATTTATTTCTAAACTGTGTTAATCCATCCATTGCTTAAGAGCTTAAGATGATTAGATATGGTTAGTTTCTCTGCATGTTCTAGCTTGGTCAAACCTTTTTAGGAAGATATGTATTTAAACGAATCGAAGTTATTATCCAAGCTCATCATTTTTAATCTGAAACTTGTTTTTATGCCTTGATGATGCGTAGTGGTGAAACTTCCAGTTATGATTGACATGATAAGTTTGTTTCTGGATTGTTCTCTATAATCATCCTGTGAAGATCATGATGAAATATGGGTTCCCAGTTTTTTATTGGATCCGTCATGGCCACTAATAGGAACTCAGCTGTGAACTCCGATTAATTTTTTGTTGAAGTTCATAATGAGTTAGAGTTGAAGAATTAGATATATTTCCCCTTATGAAATGGGTGTTCATTAGCCAGTAGAGACATCATTGCCTTGATACTTAGAACCTCATTTGGACCAATTTGGTGGCCGGGGTTGAATTATATTTCTGGGAATTAGCTATAAGGAGTCAGTTAAAATCATGTTCCGGGAAATGAAGGTTCCAAAGAATAACAGAACTCCCCAATTTTTCTAATATAAACATGTTAATGCTATCATAGTGTTTGATCACAAATTCACATGCATTAGCTATTTTTATAACTTGTATGATGCATGATATCATAAACGTAGATTGGTATGCAGTTATAGTTTGATCATGATGTCTCAGGGGCTAGGATGGGGAATTTCTATTGTGACCCGTTAGTGACATCGGGTTGCCACAAAATCACTGGTAGACAGCGGTGGACCCCAACACCTGTGCAGCTTCAGATTCTTGAGCAGATATTTGATCAAGGCAATGGAACTCCAAGCAAACAGAAGATCAAAGAGATAACATCTGAACTGTCCCAACATGGGCAAATTTCTGAAACAAATGTTTACAATTGGTTTCAAAACAGACGTGCTCGATCAAAAAGAAAACAACAGGTCACAGCAACAAACAACGGTGAATCAGAAGTGGAAACCGAGGTCGAGTCACCCAATGATAATAAGAAGACTAAACCGGATGATTTACCCTCCTCTCACATTGCTATTTCTAGGGCTGAAGATGACTGCTACCAAACACTTGTTGTCAGCTCCGGGATGCTTTCCATTGATTCAAGATACACTAAAGCTGAACCTACATTTCCCTCGCAGAGCGCTTCAAAGCCTTCTGGCAATTTTGGCCACATGTCCTATGGTTTATCAAATCCTAGTACGTACTTCAGATATTCTTCCCTTTTTTAAATTACTTGCTGAACTGAAAACTCTTGAGCTCAACTTCAATAATTTATGGAGTAGTTTTTATTGCCACAATGGGAAATTGAGTTGAACATAAAATAAGCTATAAAAAGAACAAGCCCAATAAAACAATGTACCTATCTACTTGATATTATTGTACAACTTGCTGCAACCAAAATTAAAACTAAAATATCAGACCACATTTCAAAATTTTCTTACTTTACAGCATTTTCAGGATTTATGTGATAATCAAATTAAACCATGCCAACAGTTTAAGTGAAGAAACATTCAATGTGTTTTGTGCATCGATGAGATCTTCATGCAATCATGAAAAATTAAAACAACAAAGTTTGCATATCATCACTCATCAGTATCACAATCTTAGGTTCGTATAATAATGCATGGACCTTCTCACCTGGCCCTTTTCTGACATTTTTTAGGCCTAGAGTGTAAAAAATAAAAGGGCCCAATAAAAACATTAAAACTCAGAGTGTAAGAAATGTCTTGCTAATACATGCTTTATTTATCGAGGGAACTACCCAACTAGGACCAAAACATGCTCCATATACCAAAATATGACTTTCAATGTGTTTATAGAGGTCCTATTTTGGTGTAAGATTAATGTTTTAATACTATTTAGGTAGATTTTTTTTATTTTTTTGCCTTAAATAGAAAATTTGTTTTCCATATCTTTTTTTTCCTTTCAAATTTCATGAACCAAACATAGTATGTGTCATGAATTTCTTGTTACGTTATGATGGGAATCTTCAGTTCTTATCAAAAAAGGAAAGTAATTGTTACGGCACATATTTCAGAGTATATTTGACTCCGTACAAAGTAATTTACAGTCAAATAGCTGTACAAAGTTTGAATTTTAATATTCACTTCGAAAGTACAGACTATGGAGTAAACTAATTGCAAGCAACCTTGATTTAATGTTAATTGGTGGGGGGGGGGGGGCTTATGCAGTGACTGAGAATATGTATGCTCAGTCGATGGAGTGTTTAATAGTGGTTTCTAAACTACTGTGTACATATTTTTGGTGAAAATTTGACTGTTGCCNTTGTTAAGCAATTGAAGATGATGAGGATCAATTTATCATTTGGAACACAGGGTATGTTTGGATCCTGGGAAATGCTATGGAAAGACAAGAAATGAGCCTCTTAATAGTTGTTTGATTTTACCTTGTAATTGCATAAGAAAATGAAATTTGATTTTTTTACTTAAAATGCATAAATTGAGATTTTGCAGTCTTTATATAATGATCCGTAGACAATATGAGTATCAATAGATATTAAAAGGTAAAAAGCCTCCAAAGGTTAGTCTGAGGCAGGCTTACCTCAATTATGTCTCTTCAGATGGATAAATAAGTTGTGTATAAATTGCAGGAATGGAGCAGATAATGGGAAAGATTGAAGTGCCAGGGGGCTATAATCCTTATCTTAACCCAGAAGATTATAATTTGATGGGCTGAAGCTACAAAGATACTCCGTATTATTACTTTACAAAGAGTTGAGCAAACCTCTGATGATGATGATGATTGGGAAGTCACCTTGGCGTCTCATGCATTTTCCTATGCTTCTGTCATTTTATTATCAACTCAGCAGGGATGAAATTAAAGACTTTCATGCATGGATATGAACATTTATAAATTACTTATAATTTCATATATATGTGTGTGTGTGTGTGTGTGTTTGTATGTATGTATGTATATACTCCCTCCGTTCCTAAATAAACTTCCCCTTTCGTTTTTTCTTTGTCCCCAAATAAACATTTTTTTCCCTTAAAAAATCCTTTTTGCCTCTTACTTTTTAGTAAAAAGGTATTTTTGGAAAGTCAACACAAAAGATATATTCATTTTAATATAACAATCCTTTTTTTCATATCCTACCTATCATACATACCTTTTTACTAATAATCAATATATCACATCTTACTTTTACACATCACATCAAGGGTATTTTTGGAAAGTCAACACAAAAATATCCATCCCTAATCATCAAAAAGTCAAAAATGGAAGTTTATTTAGGGACGGAAGGAGTATATATTAAAATGAATAAATGTAAAAATTAGACGTATCAAAATTAAATTGTAAACTAATCTCAATTATGGAGCATTAAATTAGCATTTTATAAAAATATCTTTTTTCAGATCAAAATTTTTAGAGTTTGATCAAAAAAAATTAAATTCGTTTTTTTTTTGCAAGAGACGTGTAGCGAGCCAAGCACCTAAAATAGCCACTTGATGTAGAGATTCCGACACTAGGAAGTGGGGTCTTTGAGAGGCTCAAGATACCGGCCAAGGATCCCCGGCCAACCCACTAGCCATCTCGGCGCCTTGCAGGGTCGAGTCCTCTCTATAGATCGCGGGTAGTCAGTCAACATTTCAACAAGTCTTGCCGAGACAAATCATCAACATAGTCAGTCATTTCATAGTCATAAAGATTTTTTATTTTAAAAAACCTCAAATGTTGTTGCAGGTTAAGGTTAAAGTAGCAGGTTCCATATTTTTTTTAATTTTTCCATGCATTGGAATAAATTTAATTATCAATTAGTAATATTGTACAGTAATTAATAGAAATCTTTTTTTCATTTTTTTCAATTCGTTTTACTAAACACGAGAAAAGAAAATATGTTGCACCCGGAGGCTATATATCAATGCATGTGTGCATAACTGTGTATAAGTGTGCATGCGCAGGCGCGTACTATCCACGTACATTCAAATATTACAAGAATATATATATTAATTACTGAATATTAAAATGCATAATAATTAAATCCTGTATATTAATTAAATGGAGTATCGTATTAATTATATTTGTGAAGAATACAATATAATGTATGACTAAAAAAGAACAATTTTGATTTAATTTGGTGTTGCACAACAACATTGAGGAGGACCAACAAATGTAACGCAAGCACCGCCAAGTTTGCCGGCATTCTTACAATTGACTCTGCATTCCGCAGGATTGTCCATGCAAGAAGGTGTTGTCGGTGGCAAACAATAATATGAAGGTGGACCGTATAACACATTATTATTGTTTCTCGATTCTCCATTCGCCATTATTACTGGACTTTTGAGTATACCTGATGAGAAGAAAATAAAAAATGTACTTACAAATTAAAATTCGGTGTAATAATTATCGAAAAAATAGATTAAATAAAGATTATAATCTCAAATAAATAAAAATATAAATAAGATAGAGCATACTAATAGTACCATAAGATAGTAGAATTGTCATCATAAACCAACATAGTGTAGTCCCAAAGGTGCATCCATTCGACTTCAGGCTTCCACCAAAACCACCCATTTCTCTTCTTTCTAATTTATTCTTTTTTTTTTCTTACTAGGTATTGTATATTATTGCTTATTATTTAGATGAACAATGGTAAGTACTATATATATTGTACGTGTTACGTTACACAAAATGGATGTGTACGTGTTTGTGTACTATATATATATATATTATTTAGTTACATATTTAACTACACATGATACGTACGTTACTACAATATCTCAAAAAATGGCATGTTACTACGGAGTACATTAATTCATAATTACTATCACATGTCTAAATAGTATAGTGTAATGCAAATTAATACTCCATCCCTTCTCAAAAACACACTAGAATGATTACTAATAAATTAACAGATACTCTATCCGTTCTCAAAAACACACCTCTTTCATTTTGTCCACTTCCAACAAAACACTCTCATTTTCTATTAAAAAATCTATTTTATCCGGATGGCGTAAATTCCACCGGGTATGAAAGGTAGGTAATTGGGTTGGGTTAGGGAGACCTAACCGGGTAAATCCTTTAATATAATATTTGAGACTCTCTTTGTTAGAAAGTCGCCTTGTGTCAAGCCTATGTGGCTATATTAAGATGAGATAACAGGTCTTTATTGGTTGCTTATATGACAAATTTTATTAATGGTGAATTGACCTTCCTTTTTTATTTTAAAATAAAATTTCAATAATGATAAACTTATGTTTAAAATTATTCTTATAAATATGGATGGAATATGTTCAAAATAGTCTCGAATTTTAGCAAAATTTTACGTAAAAAAGTTTAGGATAAATAAAGAATTCATTACTTCGTGACATTAGTTGAGTATTTATGTTTTTTATTAATAGAAAGAAATTTATTTATTTGTTATGGTATGATAAAATTAGTTATGTTATAGAATAAAATTTGTGAAAGATAAATATAGTATTGTCCGGAATAAAATGATTAAAGGAAAACAATTAAATAAAATATTCTTATGATATGACAAAAATTATTATGTTGTAGCAAAAAATAAGTCATAAATAAAATTGGTATAATCACTAACCATTTTTAGACTAGAATTTTTTATGAATCAATTTTTTAACTAAGTGCATACTCAAAAAACAAAATTTTGATAATGATCTATTTTCGTTTAAGAGTATTCTCATAGGAAAGGATCAAATATGTTTATAATTGATGCTTTGTATATAAAATTGAGATTTAATCTCTAAGAAGCTAACATGTGGTGTTGCTTGCGAGACATTTTTGATACATAAATTATAATATGGAAAGTAAGTAATTAATATTATGGTATGAAATCATTTAGTATAATTAGTTGTGGATGAGATTAGAGATATTCGATTTTATAATAAATTATTTCCTAATTATGCAAATTTTTTTATTCAATTATAACAAAACTTCTAATGAGTAATTAATAAAATACTTCTTCACTTAAATAAATTTTATACTCCCTCCGTCCCAGAAAATATTTCCTGTTTCAAAAATGGCACGCCTTTAAAATGAGTAATTTTAGTGTTATTTTTTAATTATGACTAATTTATTCTACACATCGCATCCTACTCTTTTATAAAGTAAGGGCAAAATTAGAAAATAACACCAAAATTACTCATTTTAAGGGCGCGTTTTTTTTAAACAGGAAATGTTTTATGGGACGGAGGGAGTATTTTCTATTATTGATTTAAATTAAAGAAGTTACTTTTAATTTTATTTATTTAAATATTGATGTAAGTTAATAAATAGAAACTTATTTTAGAACTACAATAAAACTTTATAAAACATGAGATGATTAGACTATAAATTGTTAGAACACGTAAAATATACTCGATATTATTTGGTAATTTAATTATATTAATTTTATAGTTTGATATAATTACTAGACAACTTATGGTTAATAGTTCTTAGATGATTTATGATTTAATTTAAAAATATATTATTTTTTATTATTTATTATGATATTTTTAAACGTTAAATACATTTTTAGTCCCTTAAAAATATGTGAGTTTTGTTTTTGGTCCCTGAAAAATATTTTTTGCTTAAATCATCCTTACAAAATTTTTGATTTTTATAATGATCCTTATACATGATTAAGACTTTTAATTTGTTAACACAACACATTTATTTCGTACTCAATAGCTTAGTTTTATATTCCCAATTACTTCACACACAATTTTGATGCCAATAATTGTGTCCTTTATCAAAATGCATTTCCAATTTTCAAATTTTTATTATATTATATAAATAAGGAATTTGAGAACTGGACATATGTACTATGAATAAGTACACAATTTAGGATTTGGAGATTGCTTTGGACGTAATTAGAAATGCAAGACTAAGATGTTGAGTATGAAATAAATATACTATCTCATCTAATTATAAGTGCTAATTACGTTTAGGGAGTATTTTCAAAATAAAATATTTTGTAGGGATGATTTTAACAAAAAATATTTTTTTAGAGACTAAAAACAAAAGTTGTCTATTTTATAGGGTATAAAAACATATTTAACCCTAATTTTAATTATATTATAAAATAAAAATGATCAAAATAAAATATATCGATGTGACTTATTATATTATACTAACATTATTTATGATTTTACTATCATTGGGTACATTTAATTAAAGAATAGAGACACTTATTTTAATTGGATTATTAATTTTCAGTTTTAAATTTTTCATTTCATTTATAATAATACTTTAAATAAATATATTAACTACTCTCTTCATCTCTAAACAAATTTCATATTTATTTATGATATGATTAAGTGAAGTTAGTTTTATTCTTTTTATTTAAATATTGATGTAAAATAAAAAATAGTTTTAATCCCCATATTAGAAATCTATAAATTAATAGATAACTAGATTACTTTTTTAAAATATCAAGTGTTTAAACCAAATTAATTAGAAGGAATATTCAATTTGACTTTTACACTTTATCTTGCTAATTTTACTTATTATTGTAATCAAAGTAAGTTTACACTGTAACTTACCATTTTTCAAGATGTAACTTAGCACTTATAATTTTATAATGGGAGATAATTTACTTTATTTATGCATGAAAATAAAAAATGAATGGAGTGTGACTCAATTCATTTTTATAATAATACTTTTTCATGAATCAATATTTTTTTCTTCATCTCTAACAAAATTTTCAATTACTTAATACACTACTCTCTTCGCCTCTGAATAAAATTCACGTGATTATTTGTTTATGATAAGTTAAAATGAAGTTAGTTTTGAATATATTTCTTTCATTATTGATATGGAATAAAAACAAACAACATATTTTAAATATTACATTAATCATTTAAAAAAAGAGAGATGTTTGGGATATAATAATGTTCAAGTATAAAAAATATTACTATACATAATTTTATAAG